ATTGTCTAACGCCACAAGCGTCAGTGTTGCTGAGCAGGCCAAATTGCACTTTACTCAGCCCAGGATTGGCCTTCCGTAACTGGTGACACTTGGCATTGAGGGTTGCCGATGTGCTGGCAGAACCCTTTCATGTGCTTCCTTGCATCTCTCGGTATAGATTGATTGCCATCATATTGTTTGATTAGGTACTCTGTACCCGAGTTCCAGCCCGGAGATACTTGGGCAAGCCTAATTTTACCCAAGGCCGAGATGTCACTCCGCCTGTCACTGCCGTTGTCACGTTGCCCGGCTGCCTCCCTCTTTTCCAACGCCGTGCTGGCATGTCATCCGGCTATTCTACAATACGCATGCTTCTCAATAGCCCCGCCGCCATCATTGCTGGCCAGAACTCCAATCTTTATTCACCAATGCAAGGGAACATTGTGTAGTTCAGCCTTCGGAGAGATCTACACACAGCGCTTTGCAAGCTAAATGACCCACTGGCCCGGTTGACCTCGTCTGACACAAGCCAATAATAATTCCTGAACTACGGTCTTGGTAACCACGACCATCTCATTAAACTCTAAACCATAGCACTAGATCCATTGATAGGGACGATACGAACGCTCTTACGATTTCGAGTCTCCACCCATGGCCCCTCCTTCTCATCGCCGGGACATATGGGTGTTGGCACTGAACAGGCATCATCACCGGCATCCCCATGGCGGCGTTGTAAACTCGAAGCCCTTTTCAGGCGGGTTGAGCGTGTGTCATCAAGGACCCAATGGCATGGCTCAGAGGCCGCCGTATTGGTCTTGCTGAAACTCCATCGCCAGGCGTTTGCTCGGCCGCCTGGAGACTGGGGCAGCCCCTGTTAGGCGATGATGCTACTCACATCGATGTGTGTGGGCTTGGGCTTGGCTTGGCCGACCTAGCCAGGTAGTGCCAGCTGGACCAGGAACATGATGGATCGGGTCACAATACTCACCCTCCTTCTCCGCATCGCATCGCCTTCCATCATGGCGTTCTTGCTTATGGCCCATCTGGAGAAAGAGCATAGCCTTCAGACTACTTCCAGCTAGCAAGCCTCCTACCCATCCCTCTCCCTTTGAGCAAACTATATCCGTAGCGATGCTTGGCTGGCTGTGCTTAGCCGTGCACCGGCGAGACCGCATCAATTAGGCAAATTACGCTTGGGGATTGTCCCATTGTCACAGCTGCTGACGCAAAAAATCTCCGTGCTCCCGTACCCAAGCCCTCTCTCAACATGTTTAATCAACCTGCTTCGCTCTCTCCATGCTACGATCTACGCCGAGGTGCCCCCTTCAGTGATCCTTGCGGACGATACTGCGCACACTACTGGGATCGCCGGCCATGGCCTTCCAGCAATCAGATGCCGCAGAGCAGGGGGTCGCTTCTTACATGGACCCATGGCCAAGACCCCCTCTCACCTGCACGAGCAAACAAACGAACGGTAAGCAAAATCAATATGTAATCAGCCTGCCAAGCGGTATGTAGAAGAGAGGTTGGCCTCTTGTTTCCCCTTGAATTGGTTCCCACAAACGGCAAGAAACTATTTTTTTTTTCGTCCTCTCGCCTGCTGTGAACCATGGTTTCAGGCTGCTCTAGACATCTTGTGTCCCGCTTCCGAAACCCTAAGAGTACAACCGCCCGCCACTGGGAATAATCGGGAGGCTCCGCTTGTCTTGTCATGATCCAGGCGGAACAATCGTGCGAGGTGAGACCAGAATGCTTGGTTCCCAGCCTGTCCAAGTCATCAGTGAAATCAACGAGGTGGGCCACGCCAGCAAACAAGGCGGCCGGTGGTCGCATCGCGGTGGCCCAACCCCCAAAAGGGTGGCCGTCGTTGATGTTTCTCAACCGGCCACTGCAGATGCTGGATGTTGCCAAAGGGCACCTACACGCGCGGGACTTGAAGTGAGTGCTGTCAAAGTAGCGCTGGCAGGCTGGTACAAGGCCCGGCCGCCTCAGTTGCGGCCACTGCTTCCTTGCATGCCTCTCCCTGCGTCGCTTTGATGCATATCCCGTGCGATAGGGTCTACGGTAATAATAGAAGCAAAGCGCTCTGCCGCGCGCCTATTTTTGATGTAGCGATGGCAATGAGAAGTTTCGTGTGCAATCGCCTCATGTCCAAGTCATGACTGTCGAGGTGCCTCAACCTGAGACGACGTGCGTGCAGTAGAACCTATTTCCGATGCACAAATCGCTGTTTTGGCGCTCGGTTAGGTTATGGCATGTATGTACCTGTGCATTTGCGAGCCCATAATAATAATACAGCCAAGGAGCAAGGACGGATGGTGGGAGGATTCACTAAGCAGCGCCTACGGGTTTCGGCGGACCAATGTGTTGCCAGTCTATTTCCGAAGATCAATCTAAATCTGGGCTGGCCTGGCTGGGAGCAATTTAGAAACCCCGAGGAAGGTTTTTCTTTTCTTTTTCTTGCCTCCCTCGATCTCCTTCCATTTTTATCCCAGAATCGAGACCAAGATCCAGAACTCAATAGGGGCTGGTCCCAATCGCATGGGTCTATGCGGATCAGGGTATAAGACACGACGAGACATGCTACCGACCGCCTCCGGGTGTGGTTCTCTAAATTCAAGGCCAGGATCTGCCTAATTTATCCCAACGACGCCTCTTTGTGACAGATTGGCGACTAAGACTCGCATGTCTACAAGCCTGTTCTGCTACCTGGCCCCGGGGGCGTACGTAATCACAGTAGTTTGGGAGGCTTGCAGAAGGGGAGAAACTAGCAACGGATCCTCGTTTAATAGGTATGTGATAAGTGCCAACTAATTTCGCTGATGCAAGCACTTAAGTGTGTTTCTGCAAGGCGCTGGTGCACCAATGCATGCAATACTGACTTAAAAAATACGGTGACTTACACACCACCCGCGGGTGTATCTCCGTATGACCAGCGACGAACGAAAGGCCAAACGGAAACCCAGGAGGAAGGGGGCAAGCAAACCATCTTGTTGCACGTTGCCTTTGCGCCCCCCGGTAGGCCATCCTGCTGGTGTGTTCCACCCGGGTGAGCATCTGTGTTCAATGGGCTGCAAACGGTGGTTGGAAACAGCTTTTGATTCCACTCGCATTAGTATGTACGAGACAGTGCAGATCCGCTGACGGTGTGTGTTGAACAAAGTTGCCCAATGCTGGTTTTATGACCAAATAGTGCACAATGCACAAAATGCATCTTACCCATGACTGGTAATTGTGCATTTTCCCGCCTAATTTTGTGCCCACCCGAACGGCCAATTTCCTAAATCGCCACATTTTTGTTCTAGAAGGCTTCCACGTGTGGGGAGCCGCTAGATTATGACGACACCTTCCCAGACACTTGACCACTTCCTCACACGACCTGGCCGCAATAGGCAATTCTGGGGTTTTGCTGGTGTCACCGACCAGCCTCAAGTATAACGCAACCGACAACGCAGCTGCCTTTCGTCGCCTGTCGCCATATCGAACCATCTTCTCCCCCCCCTCCCCTCTCCTTCCACCAGGCAGATCCTGCTCTCTCCTAGGATATCAAGACTAGCTCGGCTGGGCAGTTCCGCTCCCGCTGTCACGGCCGAGGATAGCATAGGTACTTAGTCCAAGTAGTGCCGTTGCGCACGGTTCACCGCCAGCCCCTCGCCAGAGGAAACGCTGACCCTCCGTCGGCCCCAGTGTCTCCATTCCCAAACATGAGGGAATCTAAACGGGGCGCTCCTTCAGCCTATGATCGTGAGTCTAAATGGGCAGGGAGAAGGAAAAAAAAAACTTCATGCCCCAGAACCTTTTTCACCTGACCCACGAAGCCAGCAGATTCTTCTCGTCTCCCCCTCAACGGAGAGGAGACCCTGACACGGAGGGGGGCGAGGCCCCCAGCAGAGCCTCATGAATGGATGGCTCGGCGGCATTCAACCAAGAGGCGGGAAAAGTGAGGGGCACTGGTTCTCCATTATGCACGGCACCACCAGCGCAACCGAGCGACTAGAGGCTTGAGGCATTTGACGATGCCCTCGGACGTTGCACGCCGAGAGAGGCGTATAGGAAAAGAAAGGGTCCTTGCTGGCTCCTTCGGCAGGCCCTGATGCGATGCTAGTACGGTTCACCCCCAATCCATAGGATGAGCGGTGATGCTGCGCGCGGGGCGTCAATTGCCGACTCTCTAGGCACCCCTTCGTGAGGATATGACAATGTATCTACGGAGGCCCGGCGGCGATGAAGTAATTGGCAGGTAACAGGGACCCATCAGACTGGAAGTGCACCTGTGGTGGAAGCCACATGTGTAATACGGAAGCCGTTCCCCAAGTGCGGTAAGAAAAATTGATAGTAATAGCATACCCAATGTGCAATGTGCTGCACACGCTTACACAATGGTGTTGCCATTCCTACCTGTCGTATAATACATGCCCATACACTCGTGCAACTGGTCGCCGTCCCAGCCGACGTCAAGCGAGGGAACCCCAGTCTCGAATGGCGTCGGCAACCTGCAACTGCACGCCGTAAGATGCTGCAAGACGACAACCCTCTTAACCCGGCCAGTAAGGTCACCCCATCACGCGGGGCAAAAGAGGCAAAAAAAGAAAAGTCTCTTGCACTAGAATTTGAGGAATCAATGCCACTATACATGCATGCAGCGGTCATCTCAACGTCACATAGGGCGGTACGGCGATAGAGCTCGACGACTCAGAGTACACAGGTATCCGCAGCTGCGTCCAGCTCCCCATGTCTTGATCCGCCTGGGCATTAATCGCGGTGCAGTAGCCCTCTGCCTGCAGTATCGGAAATTCTCTGACAAGGCGCAGTGCGTTAGCCGTCGCCGGAGTCCGCGTGGAAAATCCACCCATAACGACGCGTTTTTCCGGCGCCATGACCGCGTTTTTAGGCGTTTCCTGGGGAGTATACGATGGGAGTGCTTACAGAGGTGTAGTTGAATGGATGTTTCATTAACACGCCGGGGTACAGCAGTTAGTAGGTAACCGGTGGCTGGCCACATTACAGTGCCTGCCTACAGGCGGTGGAGCCCACCGAACCTTGCCCAAGACCGGGGGCTCGAGAGAGCAAAGAGCGAGATTGAGCGTGAGAATTACCAAGACAACCCGCCGGAAGAGGTTGGAATAGATGCCGCTCAGTTGTGACTGACTTCCCACCGCCTCATAGTACGGTACTTTGCACAACCGAGTGATACGACTACGCTTCCCTCCTTGTTCCCCTATACATGGCATCATATACATCACACCCACCAGCTAGCGCTGGTGGTGCACCCACAGGCACATGCACGAGACATGAATCATAGACCGGCTGCAAGTGCGTGGCCCAGGTAAGTGCGTGCAGTCGAGTCCCATGCTAGCAAGGTGTAAGTCGATGCAATTAATCACACCTAGTTATCGCCGTTGCTGGGCTGCGGTTGCCTCTCACAACCCCGAGGCCAAGAGGCCCGAGGCAGGGAACTGCCAGCATCCGCCAAAGTACTCACCTCATGGAACTGATGGGCTTTTTCCCACCCCGGTTGCTCCATTTGCCCCCATTTATACATCGGAGGCTGCTCTGATTCGCCCCATGCACTCGGGCTCTGAACCATCACCAACAGCGCGCTGACCAAAGACGATCCCTCGACGGGGCAACCGCCAAGCCTGCAGCACCCCGGGGGCCAGCCAAGCTGTGTGATATACATAATGCCTCTGGGAACGGGATGCTCCGGCCCAGGAAGACGAGACGAAGTGATACTTGTTCACATCCGGGTGGTGTATCAGCATCGGCTCTGTGACATGTTGTGGGCTGTGAGACTAGTAATATGTAATCCCCGGTGCAGACCCATTGCTGCATGCCAAGTTCTCCGTTTACCAACCAAGGCCTTCGCTAGTTAAAGAAGGTCCCAGGACGCCAGTAAGAGAGACACGAAACTGTCACGAAAAAAAAAAATTGCAGTAGGTACTTTCTTTGCGGAGCTTGCAGAGAGAAAAAACCGACATCGCTTGCACCAAAAGCCATATAACGTATTACATTACTAATTAGAACCTGCAGCAGCCCCTAATAAAATGATACACGCCGCAGCGTGTGAAAGAGGAGCAGTTTCCACTCGCAGTAATAAGGATTTGCTCCCTAGGCAGACGCTACTTACCTTGCCTACATGCCTCATACATGCTCCCGACGCAGTACACATACCAGCCCCCCCAAGCAATTGCCTGTTGGCTCTGAGGTGATCCGCATCTTGTGGTGCTTGCGCTGTTTCAGAGGGGTGTGTCTCTTCCCGCCGGTTGATGGGGAGGCGGGAGACGCAGGCAGGCTTCGGAAGGATGAGAAGAGAGCAAAAAAGCCCAAGGGAGGGATTACGGGTTGCACGAGGCAGGTATACGTTCAATGTAGCAGTATCACGTAGCTGGTCCGCAGTGGTGTGTCCCTGCACAAAGTCCAGGTTGACGGAGGCGATTATTCGGAGTTACCAAGCCAGCTAACACAGGGCAGTGGAGGTCGTCTTATTATGAGGTCAGCCAGGGCATGGGCTAACTATGTGCCTACGTATGGATCTAATCAACGTTGCATGACGGCGAGTTGTGCAACGACTGTGGCGTGTCAAGCCCGGGAACATGCACGAAGCAGTTGACAAGCCACTTTGGCCGCACGCACAACCTCGGGCATTAATTGCTACCGCACACAGATGAATCAGAGATGCAATACACCTGTATATTGGCATGGCTGGCTGGCCCCCAGGCGGCTCCCCCAACCTTCCCAGCACACCCACACCCCGGAATAGACTCAGTCGTGTGCCAGACACTTGTTCTGCCCATCCAAGACTGATAAACTTGCCATATCTCTCTTGCTTTCTTTTTTCCCCAGGACCCTTAACTTGACTTTTTCGCCTCTCTGGATCAGACGAGATCCCCTCCCCACAGCCTTCTCGATGGAGCAAAGTCAATTGCCAAAGGCCCGTTTACGAAAATCACGCCCAATGTAACGGCGGTTGAAACGCCGGGCGTTGGTCAATCATTTCTGTCGGAGAATCTACGACAAGCCACACGCCGTCATCAACCTGCCTCAGACCGCAATATATAATGCATGTGAGAGGCTGTTTAATAGAGGGGGAGTGTCGCCTGCTATTTCGGGCGTCCCTCCTCCTCCGGGGAACCAACACCCAAACCTTATCCCTACAATACGGGGCTACCATTTGAGATTTGGAGATTGAGCGAGCGCGCCTTTCTCCTCTCCAGATAATCAAAATCACCTATCTCACCATTCGCGCAACGCGTGCACAGGCTTGCGCGCCATCTCGGAGGGTATCCAACGAAAAAAAAATCCTTCCGCTTGGCCTGCTGCCCGACTGGGACAGATCGTCCGTGTCTTGGGGTAAAATCCACGGCGCAGCAGCAGGCGAGTGTTCGAAAGGGTCGCAGCCGCCAAGCTCCAGCAAATCAGCTTACCTGCTTTCTGCTGTTGCAGAAGAAAAACAAGGCACGAGCCAAACCGCACCCTGGCCCTGCCCTACCAATATCATGAACACATGGCTGGCTGATGGTGAAGGGAGGGGACCCTCCTCGTGTGTCTACCCAGGGTCGTATGGGAGGTTCACCAAACCAAAGGGAAGGTGGCCCGATCGAGCGATATGCGCATGGGCGAGATATCGATTTCCGGGGTTGATTGGCCGTGGTCAAGGTCCCGGGAGCGCTGAACGTCTCGAAATGGGCATCGCGTCAGGCGAGAATGGGGAGGGAGCCTTGTCGCGTTTGGCAATGAGTTTCGGAGTTCGCTTTCAATGCCAATTGCTAGCGACCCAATGTTTGGCCGGATAATTGGCTCCAGGATGTGAAGAGGGGTCCCCTGCTCATATCGAATTCTTGCCATCGATGATCGATTTCTTCGATGTATTGCATGATGGATGACATGCCCGTCTTCCAGATAAGATGCGCCGCTAAGGCTAGACTCGTGAATTGGCGACTGGGTTGAGCAGGGCTAGTCGAATAGTGCTTGGAGGCAAGCGAATGGAAGCAATGTGTGGTTGTACAGCCTTCAGCCGCCAGGGATCAGCTCCCCCCTCTCTCGCGCGGATGCGGGTAGAGCTCAAAGGGCAATGATGGGATTCTCAGCTTCCCGTGAATCGTCATCGGTCATGCATGGCACAGGAGTGTTTTGCCCATGCTCGTTCCCAGCCCAGTGTCGGGCCCGGGTGGTGGGCAGGCTCTTATCATCCAAACATACACATTCGGCGAGGTACATCTAAGACGCAATGCGCATCAAGTCGAAGCTCTAGCCTGTCTGATAGCTCGGCTGCCTCTCAATATCGACATCCAGCCCGTCGCCAATGGCACGCTCGCGCTGGCTCAGCTCCAACCTGCGGCCTTGGCCCAGCTCCGACCCGACCCACCCTCCATCACCGAGGAATCTCCCAATTCAACAAGGCGTGATCCGATCGACGCGCAGTTCATTGGTCTATCTTTCTCTCTTCCTGTGCTTTCAGGTGAGCTAGCTACCTTGCATCAACCATCAGCTTGCCAGTTCCCCAGCGCCAGTCCCAAACTGAACACGCCCCGGCTTTCCGATGCCACATCTTCATCCCACCCCAGCTCCTTCAGCGTCCGCGTTGGCGCTGGCGCTGGCTTTGGCTCGTCTGTTTAATGGAAATTCGCGATTGCCCCTGTACGCGATTCCCATCTACTCCTGGTCTAGCAGCCAGTCAAGGTCGAGGCTCGAGTGCGGTAATGCCGGACGACGTCCTTTCAGCCCTGTCCTGGCCGGCCAGACAGTTGGGGTGCCATCCAATGTCAGCCTGCATCGTACATGTACGAGGATACGTATCTCCCGCGATCCAAAAGGCAGGTCATCCTGAAGCTTGCATGCGTGATCTGCATCAACGAACATGTTTGGGTCCGCCGTGCCTCCAATTGGCCGCGCCGACACGATCAAAACCGCGACGCGCATCCGCGACGAGCATCTTTCATTGTTGACGAACCCGAACGGCCAAGGAGAGACGGGTCTATTGGGCCATTGACCCTGTTTCGTCCGACTTCTGTAGCGCGTTTGGAGCAAGCAGCAGCCCCTCACCTCCCAATTGCTAGCTTCTCCATATTGCCTATCTTAGATCTCGATCCTGATCCCAGCTTACATTTTGCTCCGGGCAGAGCAAATCCCAAGAATGACGACAGCGATATTTGCTGGAAAGACGATGATTGTGCGCTGGCAACTCGATGCCATTCGCGGCCGCCCTCCCGGGTCGAGCACAAAGATCATCATGGGATTTACGATTCCCATCTTCCCCTGAACTCCCTCGCTCATTTTTAGTTTGCTGAGAATCAGACAGCCAGTGCAGCTTTTCTGATTGCATCGCTGACGAGGAGTTCCACCAGCTCGAGAGATCCGCCAACCCACTGGTTTAAACCGCGCGCGCACATCAGTATCAAACGACCCGTAGACCCAGTAGACCGGGAAGATGTGCAAAGCGTACATGTAATTCGAGATCCACTAAACATCGCCCCATCCCATGCACATGGAGATGTACAAATCCCAGTGTATAACTTTCACATTCCCGTCCCCCTGCGGTTAATCATCGTCGCACAGCATCAAGATCGCGGTTCATATCTGGCCCCCATCAGAGGGCCTGCTCGTGCAAATCGGCGTGTAATTATCAATGTCCAGGACCACGAAGCATTTTGAGACCCGGGTAGGGGGCTTGGTGGCGAGCGGAACGAACGGTCTACATCGCAAGTGTCGACCAGGCAATGGGAGATTGACGAACAGGCCATCTACGAGCTTGCGCACGGCCTCGCCTCCTATCTCGTGGTTTCCGTAGCACCTGGATATATGAAGTGACATCATGGATATAGATGAAACCAATCTGAAAACGACGGTCGAATGGCTGTGCTTTTAATATTAATTCAACGTGGGACATACGAATCTTTCCAATTTGCTCCTCTCGTCCTGATCGTGAGATGATGCGATATAGGTTAAGCCGCGGCTGTTGCCCTCTCCAAAATTTTCTAAAGACTGCTCCTAAGCTAGATGAACACTCCCAAATATCACAACCAGTTCAAAGGAAACCAGATGCCACAATCGCTCCTCTAATCCTTCGTCGTAATACAAGACCGCAGGCGCAACGCCCGCCCCTGCCAAGCTGTCTGACAGGTACCACAGCACACAGAGCCGACGGATCAGACAAAGCAGAGCCTCCTCCATCACTTCCCGTCAGTTTGCCGTGTAGAATTCCCACCTCCCACATAACATGTTCGTTCACGTCTCAGCAAGTTCGTTGTCCCCGTCGCCTCCTATCCGCACACCACTTCCTCCGATACGTGGTATAAAATGGTGACAACATATATCGTACATGTGCCCCCCCGACCGCTCGCAAACCCAGCCAGATGGAGGGGCACGCCCACAAAGTCACTCTGCCCGAGAGACACGAACTTTCCAGAACCCGGTGTCTGTGACTTATCTTGTGTGGCGTGGTGTCATTTCAACCAAGTGACACATTTCGTTAAAAAGCGCTTTGGTTCCGGAAGCCCGAACCGGGGACCAGAGTAGAGGGGGGTTCGAGAAGATATTCCAAGAACCATTCATCAGTTTTAGAGCATTTGCTCTTTCTCAGCAGGTCCAAATCTCCTTTTTATTCAAAAGAATCTCGACCCTTCTACAGCTTCCTACTCCATCTCAAGTGATATCGCTGTAAGTTGAGCACTAATCTTTCTCCTCTATATAAATAGTTCTATATATATTAGGGTTAATGGACCCAGGTTTAAAGCTCTCTTCATTGATTAATATTCCCTTGCTTAAAAGATACTACTGAAACATTACAGATTCTTATATAGATTCCTCGCCCCTCTCCTATCTATCCTAGATAGATGTTTCCGAAGAAGACCCTGACTAAACTCCTCGCTACTTCAGACGCCTCCCTTACGCGTTGATTATAAGCCCGCTGTCTCCCCACGGTTAGAATTAATATAAAACCCTATATATTTTATCTGAACACGCGGTAATATATGAGTCCCTCTAAGGCCTTTACCTAGGATTTATTGCTGACTCTTAACTTGCCTTTCGAATCAAAGTTATTAAATATCTGCAGCATTATCTAAAGCTAAGTTATCCGACAGAAGAACCTGCCATGTAATAGTTAATAGGGATAATCGGATATAATATCTTACAGCTCAGCCTAAACCTGAGATTTCCCCAAGAGGTGTTGTGCTGATTGCAGTGCCGATAAGTTCCAGCCAATGATGCTGACAGAGGTTGAAGTTCTTCCAAAGGCGTTGGAATGGAAAATCGAAGCTATTCTAGCTCTCGCCTTTCCTTAGACTTAGATAATAAAGCCTTTGCAAAGATACAGGACGAAAAATCTGGTTCGAGTGACCAATATGATACACAGCACTACCCAGACATGTTATTCCCTCATTCAAAGGTAGCTCCGCTATCCCTGCTCTTAAGTTGATAGTCGGGTCTTGGTTTCAATCAGCTCCAGGAGCAGACTTACTTATCCAGAACACCGCGGAAAGGTGCCCGACTGACGTTCTGGGTCTATCTACCTATCTAAAGTGCAAGGGCAGGTGTAAGGACATGAAGATAAATGAAAAGAAAGACTTACAGAAGCTACAACTCCCGAAGGAGACGCCGCGTCTCCTCAAGACGCTTCACCGCGGCCTTCAGGCCGCGGTGGGCGAGCTTGAGGCGGCCCGACAGCACGGCAGAGGGCACAACGGAGCCACCCTTGCCACTCTGGGCGAGGCGTCGGCAGGCGCCCTAAGCCTCCTT